AGGTCTGGTTCCGTGTGTCTGTGGGATGTGACTCGGTAGGTCTGGTTACGTGAGTCTGGGAGGGAACAATAGCAAGCATGGTGGTTGTTGTTCCTGCACCGTCATTGCCAGGCCCTCCATTCGTCCTACACCTTAGGACTGACAGTGGAAGAGCAGGGATGTTCTTATGTAGCTGGGAAAGGAAGTTGGAAAAAAGGTTCTGTTTTCAGCAAGTTTGAACAGTGCCTGATAGCTTTGGGGTTGATCCTGGTAGCAAGGACACGATGCAGGGATCACAAGTCTGAAAATGTCTTTGTCTTCTAGATTGTGGTCTAACCTGGTTATTTATGATCCTACATGAAATCCTACTTTTCCTATATCCAAAATCTGCTTTGTTGAATTTATTTCATGTTCTTGGATTTTGTAGAGGCTTTGTGTGAGAGTGTTTGGTGGTGCCCCTGTGTGTGAGAGTGTTTGGTGGTGTCCCTGTGTGTGAGAGTGTTTGGTGGTGTCCCCATGTATGAGAGTGTTTGGTGGTGCCCCATGTATGAGAGTGTTTGGTGGTGTCCTTGTGTGTGAGAGTGTTTGGTAGTGTCCCCACATGTGAGAGTGTTTGGTGGTGTATCCACATATGAGAATGTTTGGTGGTGTCCCTTCCCTTCTATTTTTGTCCCTTCTATTTTTGGGGATCCTTGATAATTTGAGAATAAACAAGTCCATCAACTGATCCCAGGATTCAAAAAGCAAGTCCCATATCCGGCCAGAGGGAAACCTTAGTGCTGGGTGAGCTGGGAGATCCGGTCCATTATCTTAGGAACGTCCTTCATTCCTGGTTATCTGGCATGATCCACAATGCCAGACTAACTCTTCTTTTCATACTTCCAATAAGACACTCTAACGTTGTAAACCACGCTGATGGCTGGGGAACAAAATGTCTTACATTCTTCGACCCATTAATGTGGGTTTGAAATTAGAATTCTCCGACTCTTGCGTCCATACAGGATTAGGATGGTTTTGGTCCCTCTGGTTTGGGGCCGTGACCTCTGACCCGGGGCTCCTCTCCTGTGGGTGTCTGGGCAGCTGTGTCCTTGGGCTTTTCTTGTCTCACTCTGGAGTCTGGGATTGAGTTTGCGTAGGGCGGCGTCACAGCTATGCTGGGTTGGCAGGTGGAGGGAAAGGCTGAGAGGGCTTGGAAGAGGGTTTGGGGCAGACTGGAAGAAAATTCCAGAGCACCTGAAGTGAAGTCTGAAGGGCAGAGACCCTGGCAGACTTGGACTGTGTGTTGAGGGGAGGGTGGGAAGACAGCAAAGGGTGCTGGATCTGAGCTAATAACCGGGTGGCAGCTCGCCGGATGACTTGCTCCCTTGGACCTGTGGAACGTTCCCGCAGCAGGGAGTCAGAACCATCACTGTGGAGGATAGCGTTTGGCGTGGGGTCTCTCCAAAGGGAAGGGGTTGAGAGGTCAGTGGATGTCTTACAAAGAACGCTGGGAGGAGGTGCAGTTCTGGGACTTCTCACTGCTTAATTCACCAAATGATCCCCAGACTGCCTGCAGGGCCACCCTGCAAGTCGGCCCCTTTACACCATGTTGTAATTTAAAGGATAGATATTTTGATAGTGTATTTTAAAACAACTTCAAAATGATATCGGCAATGATAGAAGTCCTCAACGTGTAACTGAAATCTTCTTGATTTTGTATGAATTAACACAGTCTGGTCATAGGTGGCTGCACAGGTTGTATAATGCGCGTTTTTTGGGTGATGCTGTTCACATAGACTCCAGCGACATGTGCACAGGAAAGGTGAACTGCCCAGTCGTAGGCAGCACCCTGCGCTGAACATGACACACAGCCATCCACTTTATTTTCCTCCGGCAAACAGGAATTCTTTTACTGAAGTACGCTTCAAGTCTAACTTGAGCACCAGAGCCATTTTCACTGGTTTCTTCACTTGGACTAACCTCAGTTATTATTCACCGGGGAGCTCATGAGCTGAAATCTGGCTCAGCTCACTTTGTTTGATGCTGCTTTTCCGCTCGTGGCTCAGAAGGAGACTGAATGAACTTTATGGCCAGAAGTTTTGCTGTTGATAGTCAAAGACTAAAAGTATATGGAGGCTCTGAAGGAATTAATTCTGAAATCACATAAATGCTAGGATGAAGTGTATTGCCAAGCTCACTTTCTTAGCGACCCAGGTAGCTGTGCTCACAGAGATTCTGATCAAGTTGGAGATTTCGCAGCTGTGCAAATGAGAAATTTTTTATTCACTTGTATTTATCTCCGGTAGAAACTGTGTTTATCACTTCGTACTAGTCCATGACTTTAGTAGGGAAGTACAGTTTAATATTTCTGTGTTGTTGGGACAAGAAAACCCTCAACCATTCCTTGTTCCTGGAGAGGAGGGTGGAGAAACAAAAGCATTCACACGAGGCTGATAACATGGACCTGGATGTAAATGGCTCTGGGGTACATAACCTGACAGTAACCCCAAACATCAGAGACTAACAAAAATACTATGAAAATTACCATCTTTGAAATAAAAATATCCAAGCTATGGTTAACATAGCCCACTCTATGATGGAAATGGCACAGGAGAAGTGGCCAAAGTGAGCTAATTTTTCTCCAGATTGATTTCTCACTGTTTTTCCTTGAGGTATGGAATTGGAGGAAAGAGGAGAGAGTTTAATCTGTAGGGCGATCATAACCGCAGCTCTGAGAGACTTGTCCTTAGAGACAGGCTATCTGGCTGTAAACCTTCAGGGTGTATGTGACACATTTTGCTTGGTAGAGCTAAGCAGGTTTTTTTCCCTCTAAAATGTGTGCTTACAACTCTTTAATGTGTTTTGCTTTTCAGAGACAAACCCAAACTACCCTGAAGACCTCTACGAAGGTAGCTATCGTGTTTCTTCACTCTGTAATTTTCCTAAATGTTTGTGTATAATGAAATAAATCAGCTAGAAGAAGACCTGTAAGCTGAGTTAAATACACATTTTTAAGTGCTACATGGGCCAAAATAACATCTCAAGTATCACCCAGTATTGATGGCTCTTTTCCCTGGATATTTACAATGCCTGTAAATGGCACTTCCTCTCCCAGGCTCTCTTCTTGGAAGTAGTAAATCCATTCTGCTCCAGCAGACATCTTGTTTCCGTAATTGGGAACTAATTACCTGTTTAAAAGCCATGACAACCAAGGGAGGGGAGGTGGATCACCTTCAGACCAGGCCAGAGAACACATATGAAATGGTCTCTTATATAATGCAGAAGGCTGCTTGTGCACAGAGCTTAAAAGGGAGAGCTTGCCTAGGCAGCTTGGCCAGCACTGGGCTGTGCCATCAAGACTCACTGTCTCTGCTCCACATTTTGCCACCCACTGACCAGCTTTGCTGGACTGGTTCCCTCTGTGGTGTGTGCCGATGCTGTGAAGGGATTGACCCAACCATGCTCCATCTCATCTTTCTTGCTGGGAAGCAGGAATGCATAGCCTTGACTTACTAGACCATCCCTGGAGGGCAGGCCAGTTTCTCTGGGGCTGCACAGGCTTAGCACCTGAAAAAAGGGAAGTCCTTTTAGGAACATGGATGAGGAGGAACCAAAAAGCTGCACTGATGATGCTTAGCTGCTCATCTCTACTTCACTTGCTGTCTAAATGCTAAGGACGCATGGATGGGCATAGAACTCTCTAGTGCATGCAGATTTCCGAGCTACCCTTGTGAGCACAAAGCCACCAAATGTAGAGAAGTGACAAGCTTTGTTTCAAGATTGGGACTATAATTGAAAATGGTTAAAATTAGTTAGAATTAAAATGAGTTAGAACGTTGTATTTTTAAATGTCCTTTGTTCTTCAACTTTTCACTTGCATGTACATTGTCTGGCGTTCCTGATTGCTTGGGTCTGTAACATGCCCTTCACCAACAATGGTCATGCTCAGTGTGCACTTTGCAGAGATCTCCATCGGATAAGCTTTTCCTATAGACCACCCTACGCCTATTAATGTGTATTTAACTCCAGCTAACTTTAACTGGGAATTATGTTGCCTTTCCCTGTGTATGCATGCTAATCTATATTTTGTCCAAGCTGTGGCATGTACAGGTGACTTGGATATGTATTTTTATTTGAACTGCTAGGACTTTAAGAAAAACATGTCTCAGATTATCCTAGACAACATGATGTTTGAACAGTGATTTTTACATTTTAAAACTGTGTTTTGAATTTCTTTCCAGTAACTTCAAAACTTTAACAATGCTATCTCCCCAGTGGCCTCAGCTCCCACGTTGGGCATGCTGGCTAAGATGTCATGGTTTTAAACTGGAGACATTTAAAATTATCTAAATTTTGCCTGACTACTTGGCTATACTACAAAGAAAAATTAGTAAATAAATGATGTCTGCTTATGTTTGAAATCAGTGAGTTTTAAGATATTCCAAATAAACATTGCTAAAATGCGAGTTTTGGCATTAAGAATACAACAACAAACAGAGAAAATAAGTGCTTTTTCGGTTATTTTTTTCACTCACATTCAAAGGAACATGCTGTTAATAAAAATGTAATTTGAATTGTTTGCCCTAAAGCCAGCACAATGATGCTACCAAGGGGAGTTTGGCTGGGGCCAAGTTAATGAAGTGGCTTTTGCCGGATGAAAATGAGGGGCAGTGTTCTCGGTTAGAACTGAAGCAAAGATGCTTACAAGCAACATTGTCTGCAATCAGGTTGCTAAGAAGTTTGTGTGCTGCTTGGTAATTTTAAGAATAAATCCTCTGATTGCTCATGGAAAATCAGTCACCAAACCCGTGTAACCTAAAACCAGTCTAGAACATGCCAACCGACTTTGAGATGTGTGGATGTCAATGAAGACACGCTTATGTGACCCATTATTATGTCGGCCTGTTTATCGTGGGATATTGGTGTGTCTGCGCTCTTCTGAAGATTCTGTTGTGGGTCTTAGTTCCGCAGTGATGCTCACACCAGGCTGCATCCTAAGCCCTTGGTCTGTTCCCCAATGAGATGCTACTGCCCGGAAGCCAGTGTTTTCTTACAGTCTGGGTCATTGTGTAGCTCCGACTGCTTCTTTCCCTGTGGTCTAAGCCGCATGATTTCACTTCTGCTGATGTTTCTCAGCTTTAAGACTGGCAGCCAGATCTGCCCCCCAAAGATTTTCATGTGAAAAGCATCCATGGCTCCTATTCTTGGTTGTTTTAGAGATGGACATTAATATGGGGAGGCTTCCCAAAGGACAAAAGATAAATCTTAAAGTGGATTTAGAATGACTAGAAGAACAGTGATGGGGAGATGGAATCCATATTGGTTTTGTGCAGTTCCATTCCCGTTGTGCATTGAACCGAGCAGCCAGGCCCACCCCCGCACAGCCAGGCTGTCCCGACAGTGATCAGGACTCACTGGCTCTGTCTTGCTTTGTTCTGGGTCGCGCTGTGGCCCTGTGTATGTTGGCAGCCTATCGATGACTTCATATTTCTCCTCTTTCTCTTGTCTCCAATTGAAGACTGGACTGCAGCAACTGACATCGGGGATACCACAAACAAAAGCAATGAGATTCCTTCCACGGATGTTGCCGACCAAAACAATCGGGAGCATCTCTCGGTGAGTGGGGTAGATAGGTGCTTCCTGGGTTGGTTCTGACAATTCTGGACAGTCATATGCTGGAGAAATTGTTACTGCCTCCTTTAGACCTGGTTATCACTCAGACTTAAGCAGACCACCAAAGATTGAAGAATCTACTTTAGAGAGATCCAGAAACAGTGATATAGAGACCACGCAGCCTCTGACATGTGCCTTTCTGGTAGTGTGCCATATGTTTAATTTTGCTGATATTTTATTTGATGTGCATGGGTGTTTTGAGTGTATAGCTGTGCATCACGTGTGTGTAGTTCTGGAGGAGTCCAGAAGAGGGCACCACCCCCCAGATTCTCTGGAACTGGTGGTACAGAAGGTTTTAGTGGCCATCTGGGTGCTAGAAATTGAATTCAGATCTTCTTTCTCCTGTCTCAGACCATAGGTTTATTTTATTTCTGTGTCTGTGGGAATGTGTATCTGCAAAAGCCAGGATAAAATGGAGGCCAGAAGAGAGTGTTAGGTTTTCCCGGCGCTAAGCCACCTGATATGGGTGCTGGGCACTGAGGGAGGGTCTTCTGAAAGAGTAGCTAGTGTTCTTATCTGGGGAGCCGTCTCTCGGCCCCACAGTATACCACCTTCAGCAGTTATTACTGCTTTAAATATCCGCCCCTTACAACCAGACTACTAGGAGATCACTGGTAGTGAATCACAACACTCTGTCCAGGGACCACACTTTCACATCTATCTCCTTTGTTTTTAAAGAATAAAAATTAGGGTGTCTGCCAAACATACTTTTCTCTGGAGAATGTTATGGGAAAGAAAAATCAGTTTCTTCTTTTAGATAGGTACCCCGGGGGTGAAGTGGCATTCAACATGGCGTGTGTAGGGTGATTGGCTTACACATGAAGAGCTGAGGGGAAGGGCATTGGGGTTGAGCAAGACCTTCCTGGGAAATACAAGGCTGCACTTCTCTGGAAGGCTCAGGCTGGTGACGAAGGTCTTGAAATAGTCCCAGGTGATTTCCTTACTCTACAGTGAATTGCCGCCCAAGGGTCTGTGGTTCCTCGAGTTCCATGGTGGGACCAGTTTGGAACCATGTTGAGTTTTCCTCACACACAGCGTGTCCCGTGAGCTTGGATTCCTTCCACCATTCCCTCTTCTGCTGCAGCAGCTGCAGGCTGACCCAGTTCTGCCAAACAGGACCTGGCTACAAGCTCCCCGCCAACTGCCATTTCTCCCCATTATGGTTTGCAGGTGTTGTGGAGTCTTACATTTTTAACCTGACTTGGAAAACTGTCCAAAGAGGAACAGCGCTTTGTGACATGAAAGTTCTATGAATCTCACAAATTTTAATTATTTTTTCCCTTATATTATGAGGATGAGTCCCTTAGACTAGGTTGCTAGTAGCCATGACAGTTTCAACGCCCTCACGATGCCGTCAATGTTCCTGTCGGCATCCTGCCCATAACTCTTCTCCTAATCTAATGGTTCTCCTTGGAACTAGAAACTATTTATGCATCAAATCTCTAAACCATACATAATTGGATTTTTTAAATTCCATAAAATGGCCCTTTATTTATGCCTCTGAGTTAGAAAATGCAGATTGTGTTTGTTTGTTTGCTTTTTGAGACAGAGTTTCTCAGTGTAGTCCTGGTTGTACTGGAACTTGCTCTGTAAACCAGGCTGGCCTCAGACTCACAGAGATCCACCTCTGCCTCCCGAGTGCTGAGGTTAAAGGTGTGGGTCACCACCACCCGACAGATAATGTGACTTCTGACATTGATGGGGCTCACTGTTCCTGCCTGCCTGTGTTACAGTCTGAACATCGTGTGCCAATCACACAGCAGTTAGCATAACTCATTCTGCTTTGGTGTCTTCGGTACACTGATAAGCTTTGCAAACGATGAAATAGGAGATCATTTGGCAAAGCACAAGAACTGAAACAATGTAGCCGGGGAGACAAGTAACAAGCCCTGCAGCTGATTCACTCTGGCTCCCTTCCTGTTATGCCAGAGTAATGCATTTGGTCACTTACGGTCATCTACATGCAAGTGTGTGGTGTGTGTGTGTGTGTGTGTGTGTGTATGTGTGTACGCGCGCATGTGTGTGTATGTGTGTGCGTGCGTGTGTGCATGTGTGTGTGCATGTGTGTGTGTATGTGCTGTGCATTTGTATGATGTGTGTGTGTATGTTTGGGTATGCTCCTGCCTCAGTGAATGTGTAGGTCAGGAGACCACTTTCCCCCGTGGTTGCAAGGCTCAAACCCAAGTCATGAGGCTTGCAGTAGGCAAGTGTTTTTACCCCGAGTCACCTTGCTGGCTCAGCAGCCACCCTTTTTCACTGAAAAGGACATGTTTGTTCTCAGACCTCCAGCAGATGCTTAAAATTGCAGAAGCTTGGCCAGGTCTTTCTCTATGCATACCCATCATAAAGTTTGGTTTACAAATTTAGTCATGGTAAGAGTTTTTAAAATGCTAATAAAAACTTAACAATTATCACAACATAGTATCAGTTTTTTCCTTGCAGTCACTATGAAATAAAACAAGGGCCACTTGAGCATAAGCTCTATGGTGCCGTGAAGGCTGACGGTTAGAACATCTGAGTACTTCACTTGGTGTGGCTATGTCAGGCAAGTTCAAAGAAGGTGGATTTGGTTAAAACAAGGTGGTGCCGGCCATGAGGGAGCCTCTGTCTCTCTGAGGACATATAGGCTGATGAGGCTATAAGTCTATACCCAGAGTTTCGCTGAAGTTGTCTCTGGAAGCACTGAGGAGAAGTGGCAGAAGGGTCCGTTATCAGATGCCTGCAGGACACCACCATGTGACTATCTTAATGCCGCTCTTATCTGACACCAGACAGCAAAACTGCAGAGGGATTAGGGTTGAGTTTTTATTTTCCTGCCTTCTTTGTGAACCATACACTTTGTTGCGAATAAATTACAGTTATTTAAATAACTGGGCAGACTGGTTCACGTGCAAGCTGTGTGTCCTTGGGATATTTATTTACCCTACTATGAGTTTTAGTTTTGATCCTATGACCATCTGTACTGCCATCATCTTAATTATTGTGCTGCTTACTGTCCTAGCCACGGTTCTTAGTTCACTGTCTACACGAACTCACAAAGGATTACACAGCCCACAAGGCAGAGAGTAGTCACACACGAAGATGATGACAGGCAGAGCAGCTGAACTTCACACTCAGGAAGAAGTCGAGTCTAAATCTATAGCCTGCAGTGTCAGCGTCTGCTGTGCTGCAGTAACAAGCATCCCCGAACCTTAGTGGCCGAGCACTGCTGTCATTTATTGTATGCTTCATTGCGTGTGTTACTGGTGTTACTGGGAGTCTCTTCAGCTTTGTCCTGCCTATAGGACCTGGCTGACACACAGCTGCCCTTTGGAGAGCTGGCTCTCATTGCAGCAGGGAGAAAGCTTCAGAGGCGGGTGGAGCAGGGCTTCTCAGCCTTGACACTGTTGGCTTTGGAGGCGAGGAGATCTAAGGACTTTCCTGGCCATGGTAGATGGTTAGCAGACTCCCGGATTTTACTCGCTAAGTGCTTGTAGCACCACCCCCAGATCCACCGTCAAAATCTAGAGTTGCCAAGTCTTTGAGTGACAACACCATGGCTTGTTGATGACCCTGACCTTTGACTGAGACCTCAGAGCAGCAAGGGCAGCTCCACCCTTTGCTAAACCAGTCTCAACTAGTGTCAAGGATGCCCCTAACCATGATAAGACAGGGAGTGCATTTTCCAGAGAAACAGGAGCCAAGATCAGTTTGTAAGGAGTATTAACGATTACCTTAGAGGGAAAAATAATACTGCTTTAGGGGATATCACGCCAAGTGAATGACACATGGAGTTTAAGCTTTTTAGTGACAGTTACGACAGGAGTTGGTAAGCACTGTCAAAGTGCAGCGTCAGTTTTATGAATAAAACTTTATTAGAACATGACCTTGTAAATTTGTTTTCACATCTTCTATGGCTGTTTTCAACTTACACTGCAGAGCTCAGTTCTTGTGAACAGGGGCTATGTGCCTGGCAGAATCTGTATGTTCCATCTGTCAGCGCATTAACAGAAGCTTGCCAGCCCCCTGAACCTTGATGTGCTGGTTAAGTTTTATCATCTGACACAGACTAGGATCACCTGGAAAGATAGAACCTCAACTGAAGGATTGCCTCCTCTGATTGGCCCTGGATCGTGACTGCAGGGCATTTTCTTGATTGACAATTGGTGCCAATTAATTGTGGGTGGAACCACCTTAGTGAGTGGTTCTGGGATGCATAGGAAAGAAAACAAGGCAGTAAGCAGCATTCCTCCACAGGGTTCCTGCCTCAGGCTCCTGCCCTGGCTTCCCCTGGTGGCAGAGTGTAAAGTGTAAGATGAAATAAGCCCTTTCTTCCTGGCTTGTTTACAGTCATGGTGTCGATCACAGCAACAGAAAGCTAACTAGAATCCTTGGCCTGAGCAAAACCTAAAAACAATGTTCAGTGTGTTACATTATCACATCTTTGTCTCTACAATGTCACCATGTCCTTCCAGCAGCAAGATGATCACAGTGGACCCAGAGGAGCAGTGGTGGCAGTGAATACTAAGTTTCCATTGTCACCTCTGTCCTGGGGTTGTGACAGAATTCACATAGCTACTCTTTCTACTTGCAAAACTCATAACTTGTAATTCCAGTTTTTAAAACATAAAAAGCCTTTTCTGACCCCTATCACCCATGCAGAAAAGTGTACGGATCAGTGATGTCTATCTCCAGTCCCATTCAGAGCTGGGACACGCAGCAAAACACCGCCTGCTTCCGTCGTGCCCTGGCTCCTGCAAGTCGTGGCACTAAACTAAAAAGGGTGTTCACCATGAACAACGTTTTAGAATGTACAACAGTAATGAGAATAATAAAATTAACCCCACTGTATTTTTCACTAGCAACAAAATTTTAATATTTATTCATCCATCACCCCTCCCTCCCCTTCCCTTTTCCTTTCCTTCCGTGTCTCTAGACAGAGGGATGAATACATAGATGTAGCCATAGACATGATTATTCACATGGTATCAGTTAGGGATCTGTTTATACGTTTAACAGGCTTCTCTTTTGTGGCATGGGCATCATAATAGTAAGTGTTCAGGAAATGCTAACTGCCGTGGGCATCACTATCATCCGAGAGCAGGGAGGAGTTTTGCAAGGTCGTCACAGCCTCGCTTTCTCTCCAGGTCTATGCCGTGGTGGTGATTGCGTCCGTGGTGGGATTCTGTCTGCTGGTGATGCTGCTTCTGCTCAAGTTGGCCAGGCATTCCAAGTTTGGCATGAAAGGTAAGCAGAGTCACGCTTGTTTTGCTTCTTAAGTGGACTCATTTTTGGCTCATGACTAACGCTAATTATCACTAAAGGAGGAAGTGGCTGGATTTATGATGACTGGTTTTTAAGCCGGAAAAATAGCAACAAGGGTATAATACTACAAATCAAGACAGAACAAATTCATGATTACTCAACACTGCCCACTTTCCTGCGAGCACAGTTGTCCCAGGAAGGATGGACTGGTGTCTCGGGTGGGAACTAACTCAGCAGTGTAGGCATGCAGGAGGACTTGAGTGTCCTGTTGTGGTCGGGTGAGGCAGGAGACTCTACGGCCATGGCACCTGCTACTTTCTGTTGTATATTGAGAGTCTAAGTCTTCTGTCTCCCAATTTCTCTTGCTATGGCTTTTCCGTATTTCCATTTTTTGGAGAATTAACACTGACAGAAGCAAAATAAGAAAGCCACCATGGTACCATGAGCTTGTGCATGGATGGGTTTTTATTTAAGTGGAAAAATTCTCGAGGCTGAGAACCAGAGACTGTTGCCGTGAACAGATAATTGATATTCTTAAGGCCAATGAATTGTATTTAGAGGTGGGCATGAGAAGACATTTGAATAAAAGCTTTTATATAAAGTGAGAAGTTCCCTTGACTGTGAAGCGCTTGCTGGGATGTGTAAGCCTATGTATTGACTGCTGTGAGATTATTGGGTTTGGTTTGTTCTCTGGCAGTTCTGTACCATGAGAGCCCAGGAGGGGAAGCTGTAAGGAGGGCTTGGTGGAGGATGGCGTGGGTCTTTTACCTGTGTGGTCAGCGGGAATGACTCTGACCCTGCCTGTCACGTGGAAAGGGATGCTTACGCAGTATCTTGACCAGGGTACATGGGCCTAGGGTGGATGATCTTTTCTGCTTGTCTCATTCTTTTGCTGACCACGATAAGGATTCTCAGTGGTCATCATCTCTTCAGACATAACACAAAACGCAATAAAAAACCCTTCCAGTCTTACTGTGGCCATCTCTTAGCCCGTGGGTCTTTGATGCTTCCTTAGGAGAAAATCCCCTTTACTCTAGTAAGCAGGTGAGGCCTGGAAGAAGGGAGGGCTGAGGGACTGCAGTCAAAGTGACCTCTTGAGCCTAACAGAGAGCAGAAACCACCAGGGAAACAAGCATTGCAGGGCTCCCCAGAGTTCCGAGGTAGCCTGGCCTGTGTGGGTCAGAAACTGCATCTGAGCAGTTTTCAGGGACTGTTCATGTCATCATCACCCCGACTTGAGAATCGCTAATCCCTGGTCATGAATGTGGGCTGCCACATCTTTCTCCTTGTGTGACAGTGTGGGGTTGCCATGCACACCAAAGAGCCATTTCTCCCCAAGCCACCAGGCTGGACTAGCTGTCTGCTCTCCACATGCCGGGTGCCCACCGCGAGTTTTTATGTTTCTCACCATCACCAGGTGCTTTATTGGGGGTGGGGGGATTTTGAGTGAGTGTCCCCAAGCACAACTTGCCCTGGAGAGCAGCTGACTGTCCAAGCCGAGTCTCCTTTCTGGAAGGATTTGACCAGAGGGGTTTCATCATGAGAAAGGGTGTGTCCAGCCCCTTTGGGGAGCTCACTGGCAGTGGTGGGAATCCTGGGAGTGTAATATGCGAAATCTGGGAAATCTTGCTGCTGCTGTCCAGGAACCACACACTGAAGAGAAGCACCTGTGAATGGCAGCCTGATTTTCTCAGTCGTGCAGCAATGGGAGGGGGAAAGGTAGAATTCGTTCCCAAGAAGGCTGTGTTGCACACTGTAACCTCAGAACTGAGAGCAAATGGAATTTGGGGTGGATAATTCGGGGTGGGGGTTACCACCAAATGCCTGCCTTTTCTGAGCACAATCCAAGGGTATCCTTAGTGAATCTTGAGGAAGAACTTGTTTGGCCTGGACCAGGGCAGTCAATGACCTCGTTGAACATTAACAGCTGTAGGTATGGGTTTTCTCTCACTCCTAAACGTAAATAAAATGTGTTTGAGACAGTGTTGTCTGCAAAGACTCAGTTTCTCTTTGGAGCAGCTGGGGTTTCGTTTTACTTCGGCTTCCGTCGGTGTTTCAGTCTATGCTATGGCAATGCACACACTGACCCTGATCTGAGGTTATTGCTTAACAAATCAGATGCTGAGTTCATCATCTTTGGGGATCTAGAAATTAAGATGGGGCTCGTGTATCAAGCCCAACAAACCTGAACCTAGAGTGGTGGTTAAAAATTAATGTGCTAATGCACTTTCAATGCTATTAGAGTGGGGATTACGCTCAAAACGTATGCCGTAAAACGGGAAGACTGTGCAAACGTTGTCCTCCTGAAATAATCAGACACTATGCCAGTCAGGGTTCTGTAGGAGCAGGAGAAGAAGCTGCACAGCCTTGGCCAGAGTGAGGACTCAAAGAGGGACCAATGGCTAATATGCAAGTGGGCTATTACAAATGAAATTTATACTGTTACAGGCTTTTTGGTGAGGTTTGAACCCTAGTATATTCCATGTCTTAGGGACAAATCAAGACAGAGGAGGGCTTCCAGTCCACCGTTAGGGATTCAGGGTTTTGTGTCCATCCCAGCTGCATTCATTTTCCATGGCTACTAAGAGAAAACTAAATACCTGAAGCTGGGGGCTGTATATAAAAACGAGGTCTGCTCAGCACACAGTTTGAAAGTTTGAGAGCCCAAACAGCCCACTGCCACCTCTCCTGAGGTGAGGCCTCTCCCTTTGTCATATACAGAAGAAGGTTGAACAATGGGGAGATATCAAATCGCACATTTAGTAAAGAAGCCAAGGGCAGGGTGGACCAGTCTTCCTCTTTTATCATCTCTTTCTCTCACATGAACTTCTTCACTCTGCAAAGCCAATATTAACTCCTTGTAAGAGCAGCACTCCAGCGACACACCCACCATGCACTAGGCCCTATCTCTTAAACATTCTATACCACCTTTCAACGCCACCATGCTGGCTACCGTTCTTCTAATACATGAACTTTGAGGGCAACATGGCTTATCTTGCATGCCAACTATCTCCATTCGCAGCACAACCTTTCAAGGGATGAATGGTTTAATACGGCTGATTTGAAGAACCTGGGGTAATGCAAGCCAAATCCCCCTGGTGGCCACACTGTAGCCATCAGCCATCAGGTGGCCATCCCTGTAAATGCAGGGAAAGAAGGACAAGCCTCATGAGGACCCAAATATTATTTGTGACCTTGCTTCTGTGGGAGATGAACTCTGCATCGCAAACCGGGGAGTTAAATGCATTGCACCAGCAGAGAGCTGTGGTGTTGTCTTTGGAGATGGAGGCGAAGGTGTGAGCTTCACTGGCCCTCTGCTCTGTCTACTCGGTGGAAGCAGATTGCTGATAGTGGGGCTGTGGGGTAACCCCTCTGTATGCTGCAAATGTATTTTATTACTATTGGTTAATATAGAATCTTGTTTGGCCAATAGCAAGGCAGGATAGAGCCAGGTACGAAATCCAAGCAGAGATAAGGGAGAAGAGCAGAGTCAGAGAGATGCCAGCAGCCACTGCTGGGGAAACAAGATGTGAGGTAACAAGTCATGAGCCTCATGGTAAAGTATAGACTAATAGAAATGGGTTGACTTAGTTGTAAGAGCTAGTTAATAATAAGCCTGAGCTAATAGGTCAAACAGTTTGTAATTAATACTAAGCCTCTGAGTGATTATTTTAAAAGGGCCTTGGGACCAGGTGGGATAGAAAAAGCCTCTGTTTGCATAGGTGGGTACTGACTCTCAGTTCTGTCTGCTCATCTCTGTTTGCTTAGTGCCTAGTCCACTTGGTACTCAATAAATATTAATAGACTGAATGATTAGAGAGAGCTGTCAGTGTCATCCAATATAAGTTGTTAACTACTAAGGACTTAATATTTGGACGATAACTCACATGTGAATGGCTGAAGAGAGAATCTGGTGTTTTTTTTTCCCCCTAATTTCTGGAAGGGACAAACCCCACTGCTTCTAATTTCCACTGACTTGAGATAACTGGAGGTGATTGACGAGAAGTCGTCTGAACAGGTCCTGTCCCAGGACACTTGGCTTTTGCAGGACTCTGTTTTGAGATGTGGTTTCTGAGTGTAGAAGGTGTACTTTCAACTTTGCTTAGGAAGCTCTTCAGCTGCTGCCTTTGAACATGTGGCTTTGCTGCTTGTGGCTCCATTCAAGCCTGAAGCTGGCGGAGGAGTCATCTGGTGGCTCAAATTGTGCTGTTAATCTAGAATTTATTTTTCACTGTTGCTTGTTTACTATAGTTTAAGCATCTTGTTGCTAATGTCTGATAGGCTGTTGGATTTGTGACAGTAACAATGTCAAGCAGTAGAGTTTTTTCCTTTCCATTTTCTCTTGTTTATTTCTGTCCAGTCACTTATTTTATTGAATGTCTAGTTATTATTAGCATAGAGGAGTTCCAAAAAAAGAGTACTATTAGTGTTTGGCCATCCACACTGGGTTATTCTTATGCATATTTAATATTAGTACATAAAACACGTTGTGAGTCTACCTACATTGGTGACTGAATTGATATTTCTGTAAGTATAATTTGATTCTTTTTCTTCTAAGACTGCCGCCAGTTTATTTTGATTATTTTTTTTTTAATGATATGGCTCTCAACGAATTTTCAGAGCGACTTGTTGCTAAGGAACAGCAACAGGACCATGAATGTGCAGTGAACGCATGCACTCATATTCTGACCAGGTCTTCCTTGGCGCTCACAGGGCTTCTGGCCCTCCCTGCTCCAGGATGGAGAAGTTCCCGCAACGGGAATGGAAGAATCCTGGCATAGTGGATGCCAGTTCTTCAGGGGGTGCTCCACACTGGGAGTCCTGCCATAGGTGGGACTGGAGATATCACAAGGAACTGGCAGGCTTGGCACTCACCACACGGGTGAGGAACGGGCGTGGCTGTCAGAGTGTTGCACTCCCTGATGGAAATGCACATGTGGTGTTCCTCCCTCTGCATTGATGCATCCTTTGGGTGCAGACGG